TCTTCTTCTTCTTCTTCTTCTTCTTCTTCTTCTTCTTCTTCTTCTTCCTCCTCCTCCTCCTCCATCTGTTGTTGTGTTTGCTGATAAATAGCAAGCGCCATTTCTAAGAAGTGAAAGGCTTCTCCCAAAGCATCCTTGCCTTCTTTCTTTATTTTTCCATATTCCTTTCTTAGTTCATCAACAGGTAAAGCCATTATAAACCTTTTCTTGTTTTTTTCCCCTGTTCTTCTTGTTAAAACAACCAAGATGTTTCAAAACTTAAAACAGTTCCCCAAAGTCCCAAAGTCATCAAGCAGTCCAAACAGAGGACAAAGTTCTTCCCTTTGCACTTTCTCTTCCTGGGGTAATATCAATTAAAAAAAAAAACCCAGTCTGTATTTTAAAGCCTTATTGCAATTAACTTCTAGTCTCAAAATCTTCAAGGCGTCTCCTCCAACAAGATCTTAATATAATTATTTTTTTTTGTCCTCTCCCTTCCCACTTGTAACAAAGAGCTTTAAATTTTTACCTTCTATAGAAGAGCAGGTTTTTCAATGTACATTTGTTAACTCCGTAAGGGAGGGAGAGTAAACTTTCCCTTTCAGCATTTCCATTCGCCGCTTTAAAAATCTCCTCTGGAAACAATGTATCGTTCAAAAAATCGTGGTTTTCGGGATGTTAAATGTATCTTGAAGTCCTGGTTCAGCCAAAAAACTTTCACTTCAAAACTTTCTCCTTCTTCCTCCTGCACAGTCTTGTCCAGCTGCCGGTTTCTTTGTAGCAGCCATTACAGACCGCTGCTCCACCGCCTTGAGAACATTGTCAATATTAGTTCTTTCACAATATTGCAATTTGTTCCAAGTGAAATTTTCAGTCTTTTAATATGTCATGATCTTCATTAGTGACTTTTATACCTTTATGAATAGATGACAAAATAATTCCTAGTAGTTAAACCAGTCTGACATTAAATAGCTTTAAGTTAAGACATAGAAGCAAAATTATTAGTATTAGTACCCCTTTATAAAACCTTAGTATGACCACACTTGGAATATAGCATCCAGTTTTAATCACTACATTACAAAAAAGGAGTTGAGACTTTGGAGAAACTGCAGAGAAAAGCAACTAAGACAAGAAACAATGGATTGAAACTAATCAAGGAAAGAAGCAACCTGGAATTAAGAAGAAGCTTCCCAACAGTGAGAACAATTAATCAGTGGAAGAGCTTGTTTTCAGAAGTTGTGGGTGCTTTATCACTGGAGGTGTTTAAGAAACTGGAGACCCTCTTGTTTGAAATGGTATAGGGTCTCCTGAAAAAGGGATTGGACTAGAAGACCTCCTTTTAAGCTCTATTTTGATTGATTGATTGATCTAATATATTTTTAAAATAATATTTTCTTTTGAAAAAAATAAAAATATGATTTTTAGATGTGATATTTCTTTTTCAATTAGGAGAAAATCTGTTAAATGTGTAATATTGATTCAGCAAACCCTAAAGGCACTTTCCTGAAAATGGACGATTTACAGATATGACTTTCATCATGGATCATGGCTTTTTCTTAACATCAAGGGTTTTCTGTGAAAAAAAGGTTGTGTAGTTTGTTTTCTATAGCAATGATTTGAGGAAAGAATGAATGGCAGTTAATATATTATTGGAGTTTATTCAGGCCAATAATATGGATTTGATTGTTTTACATCCCTGGTCAATTCTGGTTTCAGATTTGAACAAAATTAGGGAGGGATAATCAAGAATTGATTCCTTAATGACATATTTCTGAACACACACTATTGAGCAAAATATGAACTGAAGAACAATATTTCATTCTAAATTTCATGATTTCCTTTCTAACTATTTTACATGTTTCACTCTCTGACACTTTAAATTCTTAGTTTAAACTGTTTTAGAATAGTAAAAAAAATGGCCATGATTTCCTTATTAATGTGATATGGATACTTTCATTTGGAAATACTATTTCCTTGGTCAAAAAGAAGATCAATCATATAAAGTACTCATTTTCTTTGAATAAATGTCTGTTGATGAAAACTATACAATATTTTACAAAAGGAGGAAGAGAAATATATTTTCCTCAGAATAGTATCAGCAAAGATTTAATTATATTTGCCATACCATCTCTCGGAACTGATGGAAACTGATGCAAAAATAATACAGAGTAAATTTTTAGTTATCCATTCATCCATCCTATAATTCATATATGCAGACTCTCAACTTTCTGCTTACTTTGCTATATTTTTTTAAAAAAAATTAAAAATTATTACTTATTACTTCTACTTACCCAGTCTAATAACAAGTAGGACATGCTGAGATACCAAATATGAAATAAGTTGTATTTATATAATCATAACCAAAACTTCCCTTGGGATCTGTATAGCAATTAGACTTAATGTGAAAACATTTTCCCATCTATTCAGATTTCTACCCTTTTCTCAAAAAGGAAGTAAGCTACAGTGGGGATAAATACCATTGGGAGTCTTGAAAGAATAGTTTGGGGTAAATCAACATGGAGAAAATAAATCTATGTGGTTGCTAGGAGCCAAAAATAATTTGAGCATAATCTTTGAAAAATCTTTCAGGACCAGCTCCTTGCAAAAACTATGATCACAAGCCACGGTCATCCCCATCTTCAAAAAGGGAGACACCATCCTAGCTGAAAATTACAGACCAATCTCCTTATGCTGCATCACCTGTAAAGTCATGGAATCAATTATTAACCAGTCCATTATCCTCCACTTAGAGACAAACAACCTACTCTCTAATAAACAATTTGGTTTCAGAAAAAAACTATCATGTAATCTGCAACTCTTACATTGCAAAAACATATGGACTACACAACTCGATCAGGGCAAAGCAATAGATGCAATCTACATAGACTTCTGTAAAGCCTTTGATTCAAAGGTACACGACAAACTACTACTAAAACTAAAATCTTACAGCATCTCTGGACACCTACATAACTGGATAGAAGCATTCCTGTCAAACAGACAACAAATGGTCAAAATTGGGAGTGTCCTATCAAATTCTATACTTGTCAATAGTGGTGTCCCCCAAGGCAGTGTTTTAGGACTAACTCTCTTCATACTCTACATAAATGACCTCTGTGATCATATTAAGAGCAACTGCATTCTCTTTGCTGATGTTGTAAAGCTATTCAACACCACAGACAATACTACTACCCTCCAAAAAGACCTTGACTATTTATCAGAATGGTCAATCAAATGACAACTTCAAATCTCAACAAATAAATGCTCTGTCTTACATATTGGCAGAAAAAAAAATCAGAAAATAAACTACAAGCTAAATAGTCGAGACCTTGTTGAGGATCCAAACTTTGTCAAGGACCTTAGAGTACTCATCTCAAATGATCTAAGTTCTAGAGCCCACTGTAACTACATAGCCAAAAAGGCATTAAGACTTGTTAATCTAATCCTTCTCTAGTAATCTCACACTACTAACTAGAGCATACAAAAAATTTGCTAGACCTATACTTGAATACAGCTCATCAATCTGGAATCCATATCATGTATCTGATATTAACACAATTGAAAAAGTCCAAAAATATTTCACAAGAAGAGTTCTCCACTCCTCTACTCATTGCAGAATACCTTATACCACCAGACTTGAAACTCTAGACCTAGAAAACCTAGAACTACGCCGCCTCCAGTCTGATCTAAATATAGTATATAAAATCATATATTGCAATGTCCTACCTGCAAATGAATACTTCAGCTTCAGTCATAACAATACAAGAGCATACAATAGATACAAACTAAAGGTTAATAGTACTAAACTTGACTGCAGAAATACAACTTCAGCAATAGAGTGGTCAATGTTTGGAATATTCTACCTGACTCTCTGGTTTCTTCCCAAACCCCAAAAACTTTAACCTTAAACTGTCTATTGACCTCACCCCCTTCCTAAGTGGCCTGTAGGGGGGCATGCATAAGCGCACCAATAGTGCCTACCATCTCTGTCCTATTGTTTTTTATTTTTCTTATAAGTATCTATCTCATGTATTCAAAACTATATTTATTCTTATATCTGTATCTTGTAAGTGATTGACAAATCAAATAAATACTAAATACTAAATATATTTATGTTTAGCTGTTAAAAGGAGATATAATCTAGAGTGATCAATTCAATGTCATGCAGCAGGGATGTTAAACTGGTGGGCTGGATGCATCATGTGTGCAGGCCATGCCCACTCTGGCACTGCAAAGGCAAAAAATGTTGCAATATGCCATGTGATGCAATTGAATTTGACCCACGTCTTAAAGCCATATGCAATTGATCACTTTGTATGTATGTCCCTATAAGTTTTGTATGTCCATATAAGTTTTCCTCTCATCCATTCCTGAAAATCATAGACATAATTTACAAATAACATTTTCAAATATCAGTAGATTATGTAAATTTGAATATAGGCAGATAGATAGATAGATAGATAGATAGATAGATAGATAGATAGATAGATAGATAGATAGATAGATAGATAGATAGATA